CCCCCCCCCCCCCCCCCCCCCCCGTTCTGCTGCCGTGTGCCGCTCTGTTTCTCTCTACTTTACCGCGTTGTCTTTTCTGTCTCTCTGCTCCGTCATCTTCTTCTCTCCGTCCACTCGTTGCCCTGTATAGTCTTCTCCTTTGTTCCGCCCCGGTCTGCTTTGTTCCACTTGATTCTCTTCTGTAGAGCTGCTCCGCTCTGTTTTATCTGTTCACACCTTTTTGTCTTCTCCTCTCCTCTCCTCTTCTCATTTCCTCTCCTCTCCTCTCCTCTCCTCTCCTCTCCTCCTTCCCAGCCATCGTCTGCGCTCCAGACCTGCAGTGTTATAATCAACTTAGCCGTGTTGATGATTAGATCAGTTGCGAGTGCTGCTAAGATCCTTTGCCCCTCGCTTCCTTAACTAAATTTGTTTGGTGATAACCTTTGTCTTCTAGTGTTCAATCAAGAGATTAGCATTTGGCCTACAGTCTATACATACCGGGGAGTGAATGAATGGCTGGTTGCCTGGCTTGCCGGCTGTTTGGTCGGTGGGCTGGATGCCTCACTGTCCTGGTTGGTTCCATACTAAGTGAACCAATGGATGAATAGATGAAAGATTGGTGGAAAGGGAACTCAAACAAAAGGCTCTTTCATAGGGCAGGAAAATCTTATAATCAGTGGCACTTGCCAGTCAGTTCACACGTCATTAATAAATCAGATAAAGTCACAAATTAATTCTGAGCCGTCGAGAATGACGCGTAATAGCTCGGAAAACGAAGCCTCGTTCTCTAAAGCTCTTTAACGGGGATACTGTACAAGTTCCCCTGTTTGGGACTCACTGGTTTAGAGAACGAGGTGACTTCCGCCTCTCAAAAAATATCTCCAACTCATGAAGAAGGACTATTCTAACTGTGGAGTGAGCATGACTCAGGAAATGCTCGGCCTATTTCTCTCGCTTCAGATTTAATCCGAGACGGAGCAGAGATTTCTTTTTAATTGGCCGGCCACGTTTGAAAACATGGGCTTTAAAACAAATCCAGATTGAAAGTCTGAAGCAGGTGGCGAAGGAAGGAGGACGGCGCTCGTCGATAATTCACAAACGCCGCATGTTAAGAGGAAGCACATACGTGCCTTTACCACCCTGATCAGAGCTACTCTGGTGGGGATTGTGACTAATGGAGATGATCACACATGACTTTGTAGTTTCTGATCACACCATCACATGCCTTTCAAGGTTGCAGATTACAAAACGGGTTAAGTCAGTAAGTGACGCATGGCAAATATGTAAATCACATCTAGTTTACATTTTCAGTCTGCCGTTGAACGATGAGGAATCGCCGCATGGTCACGGCCATCTACTTGACTTTATAAAGCCATACGTTATGCCGATGCCTCTCCGCTTAGCATTTCCTTGTTCAGCCCTCGGAGCTTCGCAGAATACCTCAAGAGAAGGACGCGTCACTCGGCTAAGTAAATTAAGTCCTCTGTAGCCCAGCACTGTGACATTCCTGCTAATGCTACAGTATGTGAGCCTGACAAATGGAGATAGTAGAAAGAGGAAGAAGAGAGCAAAAGACACAGTGAGAGAGAGAGAGAGAGAGAGAGAGAGAGAGAGAGAGAGAGAGAGACACCACTGGTGAGCAATACACAACAGCGTGAGAATCATGAGTTTGACAACAGCGGCCCTGACCTTGCCAGACGTGGACAGGTTCCAAATGAGCTCGGACTTGGAAAGGTGTCAAGTGCTTTTAAGCTCTGTGGACATTTTTGAACTTCCGTGGCCCCGGCGAGGCTTTCAATGGAGCGCATGTGTTTGTTTTTCGTGCGTGTGTGTATGTGTGTGTGTGTGTGTGTGTGTGTGCGTGCGTGCGTGCGCACTCTACTGCGCGCGTGCGGCACACTCCGAAGCACCGTCGTGACCCTACTGAGCTGAGAGATGAGTGTGCGCCATCTCCGACGGACAAGTGCGTCCACCTGTGTGTGTGTGTGTGTGTGTGTGTGTGTGTGTGTGTGTGTGTGTGT